GACTGGCGTGAGTCGGAGGTCCTCGACCTCTCGATCCCACCCGAGTCGGCCGCCACCAGCAAGCATTCTCCCCCGGGAGGGTGCAGTGGAGGGCAGACGCCCTCCTTGTCCCTCTCCTCTTCTGACCCGGAGCAGGAGGCCGGCGACTGGCGTCCCGAGATGTCCCCTTGCTCTAACGTGGTGGTCACGGATGTCACCAGCAACCTCCTCACCGTCACCATCAAGGAGTTCTGCAACGCGGAGGATTTTGAGAAGGTGGCGGCGGGCAGCGGCGGCGGCGGAGGCAGCAAGTGAGCACCCAGGTGCCCCCTGCTCCAGGGGTGTGGGGGGAAGCTCTACCTGTGAGAAGTCGTGGTGCGAATGGCTGTCCTTTAGTTCTCTCCTTCTCCCCTTGGCTGTCCCTCTGCCCTCACTGCCACCCTTCCTCCTCCTTTCCCCCTGCCCACTCCCTCTTGCCTGGGGGCTGGAGCGTGTTGAGGCAGGGGGAGCGAGGACCCCCCCCGCTCCTGGGTGTCACTGCCACTGGGAGGAGGCAGGGAGGGTCACGGTGGGGCTGGGGAGTGGTTGTTTGTCCTTGAATGTGGTGTTGTCCAACGGGCGGTGGAGCCTTTGGGGATGAGGGATGGGTGAGCGTGTGTCTGTGTGCCTGTGGGGGTGGTGGGGAAGGTGCTCTTCCTCCTGCTTCCCCTTCCGTCTTTGACAAAAAACTGAAGAGGAGCTCCAGACCCTTGAGGGGAGGACGTAAGAGGATTGGAGCCCTCGCCCACGCCCCCCAAGCCTTCTCCCACAATGTGCATGCAGTCTCTTCCATTCCTCTGTTTTCCCCCCTTGCCATGACTCCGATCCTGCCATCCTTCCCCTTCTTGACCTGTGGCCTGGATCTGCTCTCTCTTCTGCTGTCCTTCTGGCAGTCGCTGATCCAGATGCCCCCGGAGCAAGGGGGAGTGGGGCAGGGGAAGTGTCATGCCTGGAAGGTGCTTGAGACAAAGCTGGGGTGATGAGGGGCTGCCCCATGCAGCGTACACCCCATATTGGCTTCCCCTTTGCTTTGACTATTGGTGCTACCTTGGCAGTTGTATGGGCGCTTTCAGGTGCCCTGGTCTCTCTTCTGCATCTTCCGACTTGCTCAGCTCTGCAGGGGGAAGGGAAGAGAAGGGGAGTCTGCTTCTGGCCCGGATCTTCCTCCTGGTGTTCATCACTTGCACTTGCCTGGGGGAGGGGGCATCAAATGCCCTTCCCCGGCCTTTCCGTGGTGGAAGTAGGAGCGGGCCATGCATCCATCCTTCGGTTTGGGGGAAGATAACGCCGACAGCGTGACGCTGCCCCAGCCGGATGAGGCTGGTCTCCCGCCTTGCGCATAAGCTTCCCCCGATGCTTTTTGCTTCCCCCGGCTCCCTCGGAAGGAGGGAGGGATGGATGATGGATGCTAAGGCGGGTTGTTTGCTCTTCCTGCTTCCTTTCATCTTTCCTGCTCTCCCTTCCTTGTCGTGGATGGCCTGGAAGAGGGTTCCTCTCTGTCTTTTCAGCATCTGAAACAGCCCTTACAACTGTCAACCAAAGGTGCTAATAAGAAAAACAAAAATCTCTCGCGTTGTATGCATGTGTGCTGGATCTCTTCCCCCAGAGCTCCCGTGAGCAGATCCAGAAGTCCTCTCCACCCCTAGCAAGTAGGAGCGAGCAAGACCACAGCTTGCCGTTCTTTCCCCACAGCTCCCTCTTACCTTTTCCACATCCAAAATAAGCTCTCTCTTTCACCTGCCGTTTCTGGCTTGCTCCGTTTCTCTGTGGGTCCCTAAGCTTCACGGTGAGATGCTCTTCCTTTGCTCTCCCTTCTCCCCCTACTCCTACAGGACTCTGTAGGAGCAAGGAAAAGAGGTGCTGATCAATCGGTGGGAGAGCCTCACCCTCTCAGCCCTGTCCCTGGTGTTTGGGATGGGGCGGAAGGGTGTCACTTCTACCTAACATGCTGCAGAGGTGAAAAGGGTGGAAAAAAATTCCCCGTGCCAGGGCTCACCTGCTTACAAACCTGCCCTGGGCGGGTGAACACGAGTGGAATTGGCCCCTCTGGTGCTTCCACACGAGGATGCTCGGGAGCTGCCGGCTCCGAGGAGCGTTCTCATGTGGAGTAGTGATTTTGTGGTTGCAGTGGTCTGAGGGCAGAAGGGAGGTGGTTTGTGGGAGAGAGGTAATATGTGTCTGCCCAAGGGGTGTTGTCGGGGCGGCAGAGGGACAGACGAGCTTCTGACCCTAATTAGGGCTTCTCTGCCCAGACCTTGGCTTTTCTCCACCTCCAGCGCCTGGGTCGGTGGAATAAAATCGTTGCTGCCCTCCCCACAAGCCTTACCTCGCAGCGGGTGGCATTCAAAGCCGTGGGGCACGGTGAATTCACACCGGTTGCGGGTGGGTGTCTGTGCAGGTGGTCTGAGGGGGATTCCGGGTGCTGTTAGCACCACCCTTTACACACCTCTTTCTTTTTCTTTCCTTGGATAAAGAGCTTAGTGGACTCTTTGGGGATGTGGTTGCATTCACAACTGAAGCTAGGGGCAGGGAGAAAGAGACTTCCCCGATCCATTCACCAAGCTAAGGCTTCCTATAACTTGTTGGACTTGTGTGCGTGTCTGTATTAATACCTGCCTGTATTTTTCGTGTCTTTATTTTTTTTCCGCATCTTTCCTGTGCCTGGCACACCCGGGGATCCCTTATTTTAGCATAGCCTATCCATTTGACTGCAGCTTCAAAGATGAGCAGTTTGTAGGCATAGGGAAAAGCTCGCTCTTAGGGAAATAGCGAGGAGATTCTTCTCTTTCTTTTTTTTTTTTCCCCCCCTCCCTTCTCAACAAGATCTATTCTGCGGCTGCGAGATAAGAGGAGCTTCTTTGTGGGGTGGACGCAAACTGGCCAGTCACTTTAGGTTGTTAAGTTACTGTTTGGTGTGTATGTGGTGATGTGTTTTGTTTCGTGGCATTGAGGTTCTGAAAAAAAAAAAAAAATTGAAGCGTTTAAGTGGGAGATAAAAGGGAACTTTAATAGGAAACTCTTGATGTGTTTTGGCCAAGATGTGTTCGCTTGGCAGAATTCTTTTCCCCAGTGTCTCTTGTATGGTGTTCTTTGGGGGCAGGGGACAGGAATTGTTTAATTGAAGGGGTTTTGCCTTTCTCCAGAGTGACAAGCAAGGGGACTGTCTGTGAAGAGCAAAACAGTGGGTCATTGTAAGGAAACTCCGTGAGGACCTTCTTCCTGTGGTGAGGAGATGAGGGGACTTGTTGCAGCAGAGGAACTCGTGTAGTAGATCCTCTTTGTGGAGGAAGAAAGGAGTATGATCCGGCTTGCAGACACAGCTCGACTGCTTGTGTGACAAATCTCTCCCTGGGTAGGTCACCAGGTGGGAACCAAACCCTGAACCTCTGGATCCAAAATGAGGATCCCATGCTGGTTTGAGTTAGAGATTTGCTAACTCAAACACAGCAGCAGCCTCAAGTTCTCTCAGGTGGACGAGGCGCTTGAGGCTGACTAACCTACCTTCGTATTCACGTGGGTTACGCTCCTCCTTCTGAATTTTTGCCCTTGCTCCTTAATGGAGGTGGGAAAGAAGATCCATCCGTGCCCTTTAAAAAGGGACATGGGATTGAGGGAGGAGTTTATTTGAAAGTATCCCCTTCCCTTCCCCGTAACTCCTAGGAAAAAAAAAAAACAAACAGGGAAATATTCTCTGTGTCTGTGCCATGTTTGTTCTCTTGTCGTCGTGTTTTTAGAGGAGATTTTATGATGGAGTGGAAAAAGTGAAATGATTAGTTTTGCATAAAAAAAGAAAAGTTTAAAAAAAATTTCTACAGGGAGAGAGCGAGAGAGAGTTTAAAAATGAATAATAAATGCAGTGATTGCACAAACTGTAGTGGTATTAGATGGTCCTTAGAGAAAAGAGTATTTTGTAGTATCGAAGCATGTGTGTCTGGGATGGTGTTTGGCTTGCTTGAACTGGAGGGAAAGGCATTCCGGGACTAAGCAGCGATCTCTGAGCTGAAAAGGCAAGTTGCATGTTGGAGGAACCCTGTCTACAAACCCTTCCCGTCCTTGCCTCCCAAGTGTTGGAGTGAGTTCCCTTCCCTCCCATACCTCTCCTGTGAGCTAAGGTGGAGTCTCCAAGTGGTTTTCCGGCCGAGCGGCCCTCAGAAATGGCCGGTCGCGTTCTGCCAGAACGTGGATCGGGCCACCAACATGGAAACAGTTGACTTAACTTTGCATGCACAGCAAGCTGCTAAGATTTGGGGTTGGCATGTACCTTTCCTGCCAAGTCACTGTCTCTTCTCTTTTCCCTCCCCCGTATCCAAACAGGATGAAACATGGTGGGCTTACCTCCCGGGAAGCAGATTCGCCTCCCCTCCGTAGGGTCTCTTAACCTCTTCCAGCGTCAGGTGGGGAGCGGCATTTTTCTGTGTAGGATTCACCACATCAGGACAGAGAACTGAGTCCCATCTCTACGTAGTCCGGTGTCCCATCTCTGACAGTGGCCAGATCTTCAGAGGCAGATGAGAAACCTGCCTTGTGTGCTCTGAAGGTGTTGCCGAGTGAGGCATACCCTCTTCTTGAGGCCAGCAAACGCTGGAGGTTTTGGGGTGAGGAGGGAGAGGAAGCCCTTTACGGGACCATGCTCAAGTAGGGCTGCCGCCTTCTGCTCCGGCTTCTTGCGGGGTGGTGGGGAAGAGTTGCCTGAACATTTCTTCAAAGCGAGGAGGCAGCTCTTGCCTGCTGGCTTCCCCATCCACGATGTCTCTGCTGGGCGCTCATCTGGTGCGTAGGAGTGACTGCAGGGAAGAAGGAAGCCACCAGATGTTGGTGTCCCAACAGAAGGTGACAGGCAGGGATGCTAGGACAGCTTTTCTTGTCTGGACTTCTCTGGTGCCCTCGGCTTTGCAGTGGCAAGTGACGGATGTCTCGATGCCTCCTGTAGCCAGGGCTGCTCTTGGGAACTTCTTCTGCTCTCTCTGCCCATCGAGCTCTGTCAGTGCTTCCCACGGCCTTCAGCTTGGAGCGGCAGCCTCCTGTCTTGTGCTCTCTCTCTTTTTTTTCTCCTCGCTGAGCAGAGCGGGACTGGGGAGGCGTGAAGCTAATGAGATGCAAGCTCCTTTTGGGATGGAAAACAAGGAATGAGAGTGTGGCGAGCAGGCCCAGCTGTGGTGAGCCACTGCTTAGTTTCTGTTTTCAAAAGCAAAAGGGAGCATTTCTCCGCCTCTCCCCTTACTGAAGTTCCCAGGGAGATTTTAAGAAATAAAACAAAAAAACCACCCCACCACCCA